CCTCTGACCTTTGGACTAATTCTTTGAGTAGGAAGGTCTGTTGGTTGATAACTCCGGATTGTTTGCTTTCTACTTGGTATTGTCAAAACCGTAAATGCAGCATGTCTCATTTGAAAAAACTTACCAGCAGACAGACTTCAGCTAAAAATATGTACTTACTAATGAGCATGGCACTTGGATATTTTTAAAAAGGAAAAAATTGTTGCAGCTTTTGCTCTGTTGTATGTGTATGCGTGCATGGCTAAGCAATTAAAAAAAGCAAAACGAAGCAGTTCTTATTTAAGACTGTATAAGACTGGCTGTTTACCCAAGACGGTGTCTGGAAATCAGCTTTCTAAGCCAATTTCTTCTGTCTATCATTTCGACTAACTTCTTGCTTTCTCTTTTCTTAATGCTGGCAACTTAGTATACGCTCCATACAGCATTCAATTAGCATGCCTATTATGAGGTAACGTATGCATAATCCAGCTGTTTGGTATATGTATTGTCATGTGTGGAATCAAGTAAAATTGAATTTAACAGATTAAAAAAAAACAAAACAAAAAAACAAACCCAGGAAAGAACAAGACTTCATATTGGTGAAGGAAATTGACTATGTAGGATACATTTTTTTTGTTTCTACTTACCAGTGGTGGTTATCAGACATTTGGAATGGGAAGAAGTGCACTTTCCTGATGTTTGGAGAACTGTAACACTTTGCCTTCCTGTTAGAAATGTAATTGACAAGTTTAAAAGACAGTAGTTCACCATCTGATTTAGGACTGTCTTTTGGAACTGAATAGAAAATGTGGTTTCCTAAAAAGTCTTTTTGTTGACTTGTAGTGCTTGCTTGCTTTGCATTATTTTTTGGGGCACTGTGTCCCTCCATCTCCTGAGGGAATCTGGTTTCAAATATAGATGTCACTGTGTGTTTTCCTAAATGAAAGAGTTCTGCTAGGTGTGGGTGACTGACACAAACACCAAGCAAAGGGCGGGAAGGAAGCTTAACCTGTTAACAAAAACTTCTTCCATTTTTATGTAACTTATATTTTGTCTGCTATGAATCCTTAGCCTTGGTCCATGGAGGGCAAGCATTTTCCATTCTGCATAAAGGCAGAAAAGGTGTAAAAGCTACTGCACAAGTTTGCAAGTGTCAGTGACAGGCACTCTTTTGACCCTAGTAGTAAAAATACAGTGGCTCTCAGCACTGAACACTGTGAGCTGTCCCGCTCTGCATATGCAGAACGCACTGTTTGTAATCACAGCTGTCTCCAGCACTTAAAAAACAAGGGGGAGTCTCTCAAACTTACGTTAGCAGAAAATGTCACTGTGAACTATTTTGTTATTTAAACACAGCCTGTTAAATTAAAGTTGTTTTTCTCCAACAAGCGAAAAAAAATCTGACAAGCTTTATCCAGCAGTAATACAGTAGGCTATCCAAAAGGGATGACAAAGCTTTTCTGAACAAACCCTTTAAGCCAGAAACCTGTTTGAAATCACTGTGTGTGGAGGGGTGGGGGAGCGTGGGGAAATTGCTAGCGCTCTCTTCCATCTTCTAATGAAGGATCCTATAGCTGAGACTGGCAATGGCTAATTGACATGAATAAGTTGCAGCTTGAGTGTTCTTCAATTTTATAAATAGATATACAGATGTAAACTCTTTTAAGCTGAAATTAAAAACAAGGAAAAAGCCCCAAATAAACAAAATTCATGTTGACATTGGGAAAAGCAATTGCTTGCTTGTTTTCTGATATTTATATGCTAACTAGATACATTTTTAATTCTGTGGTTCCTTTTTGTCCCTAGAAATTCTCCTACATTCAAATCTTTTGAGGAAAAAGTTGAGAACTTAAAGGTAAGCATTACTAAGAAGTCCTGGTGACTGTGGAGCTGTGTATATGGAGAAGACTTAAGTGGGCTCTGGGTAACCTGTGTGATTTTTTATGTTACTGGTAAGTTGTTGAAGGTGCTTAGATGACGTCTTTAGAAATACTGTGTAAATGGTTTCTGTGCCTAATGATTTCAGAATAAAAACAGAAGGATGCTCATAACTAGATGGATCAACAGCTATCTAGCCTGTAGAAGTGGATAGTATGACACACCTAGTATTATATCATAGAATCATATAATATCCTGAGTTTAGGCTTTTACTTCTGTGCCTTCCTAAGGACTAGTATCATATGTAGGAGTACAGATTGGGTTGCTTCTTTTTAAATTATGTAAGGTCTTTGTACTTTTGGTTCTGCAGAAAATATTTGTAAAACTAAATTTACTCATAAAAGCCTTAATACCATTAGTAGGTTCTTTCCTACCCCCCCCCGAAAAATGCAAAAACACCTAAAACAACACCAACTTCAAAAATAACTAAAACATGTAACTAGATCCAGACTCCAATGTTCTCAGGGGCACACTGGGCTTGATGAGAAGCATACAAGCATTAGACAATCATTAGATTTCTGCAAGCTCATTGTCACTAATGGCCACGCCATACCACAAAATAACTTCTGTAGAGAGAATTGAAACGGTGAACAGACTGCCTGGAGAAAGTAGCATAGCTGCAAGGCTCCACGAAAGAACTCAAGATCTGCTCGTGAGACTGAAAACCGTTCAAGGCTCCTAATTGAACAACACAGCAGCTAGTTTTAACTCTGAATCTTTCAAAGCCTAACTGGCTTAAAAGGCAACATACCTGTACTGTTTTTAACTGAGGGTGTGTGTGTGTCAACCTTCAGACTCCCTAGAAGTAGGTCTGCTTCGTTCTTTTTCATTCTTTGTGTCTTGAAGACCCAGGGAGGCTGGTGTGTCTGTGATATTTAAGGATTTTCTAAGTAATATAAAGAGTGTCATGGGGGTAGCTCAGTCCTGGAGAAGCTGCTCTGCTGAGAAGAGTTAAGCCTCTTTGTGCAGAGGTACTGGTTTTATGTAGATAACTTTATGTTGAGGCTCTCTTTATGTTCTAGTTTAAAGTTGGAGGAAACAAACCTGCCGGGGGAGACTTTGGAGAAGTTTTGAACTCTGCTGCCAATGCCAGTGCCACAGAAACAATTGCAGAACAGACACAGGAGGAGACCCACTGAGATTCCTGCCTCTGTCCTGCTACCCACTGCCAGATGCTGCAAGCAAGACCTAAGCACACTTCTAACATTCTTTGCGCTCTTTCCACCAGATGTGCTTTTATTTAGCACGTAGCTGTTTTACCAGGTTAACTGATACCAAGCTTGTTTGTGGGTTCAAATTATTTTTGAAACTAAAATGCATTGTTTGGGGTTTTGTGTGGGAAGGGGAATTTTTATGCCTTTCAAACATTTAAAGGACTTATCTCTAATTTGAAGGCAACCTTTAAAATATAGCAATGAAAACTCTTCTGAGAAGTTAATTATACTGTACATATACTGTGGATACATAATTGCTTCTGAATCTGTAACTACTGTTCAACTTGATCATTTTGAATCTACTTCTGCTGCCAAACTTTACTCCTTTGTGATTATTTCAGTTAAGTGTTGCCTGCATGGGAACCAGACTAGGAGGATCACTCCCAGCTAAAGAAAGGACTTGTACTTCAACAGGCTTTAAACAAGTTACTTGTAGCACAGTTACAGATGTGTTGGAATGTACTGTATTAAGAGCTTGGTTTTTGTACAAAAGATACTGGTAGTATAACACATGACATCTAAAACTTACTGATTTGTCTTTGGCTTATCTAACTAGGAGGACTCTGGAAGCAAGATGCCTATTAAGGCTGGTTTAGTTCAGTTACAATAACATGATCAATATTGCGTTTTGTTCTGAACTTTTGATCAGTTGCGAATCTTAATTCAGATGCAGAGGTGTCAGACACTAACAGAACAGGGATGGTAAGAATAGGCCTGAGCATGAAAGTGGTTCTTCTGTTAGGCAGTGGGAGAGAGCTGCTGTCAAATGCTAATGTTCATTCCCCTGTAGACTGACTGGAAAAGATCTACTACATACTACATAGCTGTTTTTTTTTTCTGTACATCTTGAGGGCCTGAACCCCTTAAGATGTACCACTACTCCCATTTACTCTGCTGCGCAGAGTGTTACATTGCAGCACGGCACTCTGGCAAGGTCTGTTCCTCTACCTGTCGCTTTATTGGATTGTTGTCTTCAAATTGCTTGTCTTTTCTATGTTTCTGGCACCTGGTGTGGGCAAGATTACAGCTTTGGGCATGTGTCTTATCACCACGGTCAGAACTGGAAGCAGGTTTGAAACAGGTGCGTGAAGCCTGAAACTTCCCCCTGCTGTGGAGGGGTGTGGAAGAAAAATAAAAAAGTTCCTGACAACTTTATTAGCATGCCAGCTGTCATGTATATATGCTCAGTTCCTTGTGAGAAGCTTAATAAAAAAATAAATTAAAAAACAAAAGTGTGAGGAATGTATTGTTAATATAGAGGATTACACTTAAAAATAAGAAAATAAATTTACTTCCAGGTGAAAATAGCGGGTCTCTCGGCTGCTGAGGGACCCGCGACCCCTCAGCCCGCCATGGGGCGGTGCCGGGCGCCCCTCAGAGGCCGCTCCCCGCCCTAAGATGGCGGCCGCCCCGCCTCACCTTGCCCCGCGCGCAGGCGCAGCGCCCCGCCCTGCACGCGGCCCAAGATGGCGGCGCCGGGCTGGCGGCAATGGCGGGCGGCGCGGCGCTGGCTGCTGACGGCGGCCGGGCGGGGAGGCGGCGGCGGCGGCCTCAGGCAGGACGGGCCCCGGCAGGACCCCCCCGGGCAGGGAGCCCCTCGGCAGGAGGCGGGGAGGCGGCCGGGAGGCGCCGTGGCGGCGGCAGGGCGGCAGGTGAGGGCGGGGAGGGGCCGCCCCTGGGCGGCGGGGCGGGACCGGGGCTGCTGGCGGGGGGCGGGTAGAGCCCGGGCGCCTCAGGGGTGGTGGGGTGGGGGTGTGGGAATGGCCTCGAGTTGTGCCAGGGGAGGTTCAGGTTGGAAAGGACGAGACATTTCTGCTCAGAAAGAGCAGTCAGGCACTGGGACGGGTTGCCCAGGGAGGCGGTGGAGTCACCATCCCTGGGGGTGTGCAAGGGGAGGTTGGATGTGGTGCTTGGGGACATGGGTTAGTGGTGACAGCGGTGGCAAGGGATGGTTGGACCAGATGATCTCGGAGAGCTTTTCCAACCATAATGAGTCTTTGATCTACCTGTTTGTATTTGCCTATCTCACCTCTCATCCCTTCACTTTCTGTAGTGAATGTCCTACAGAAAAGTTGACAGTTCTCGTGCTTTTTGTTAACATACTCCCACAAAAACGTGACCTGTTTCTGTAGGAAACACGTGGGTTTAACATAGGAGGTGCAGGTCTGCAGCAAAGCCACGTGCAGGGTTTTATAAGCTGGCAGAAAGAAAGTGAAAAGTGTGATGAAATGTCGGTGGGATCAAAGACGATTGAGGGTGGTACTCTAGTGGCTTACAGCAGAAATATTAGGGCAGGAATGAGAGAAATAAGTGGAAAGCACTTACGTGAAAGTACTTGCATGTGAAAGCAGCAGAAGTTGCAATATGGGGGTTAAACAGGTAGTTACGAGGGAGGACAGCCACCGTTCCCTGGTGCTGTCACAGTGGTGGCAGGGGGACGGTGATGTTCTGGGCAAGTCCCAGCAGCACAGGAGTTGGATGGAGAGCAGACCCCGCGTCCCAACAACAGGATGGCAATCAGCTGGCATCCCCTTACCCGCCTGCTGTTCTCCTCTTACCCCACCATGATGCAGAGGTGCTTTAGACAGGTATGGTGAGACCCACGGTGAGCAGCAGCTAAGTCACCCTCTGTGGCCATTACAGTGAATTTTGTCATGCTGATTTTCCCCCAGTATCAGCTGTGACAGTGGCCAGTAACAGGCACCTAGTCTCAGGAAGAAGCAGTAGATGTGTATTAATGTGTCACAGAATATCTCCTCCAGGCTGAAAAATCCCAGTATCTTTGATTTTTCCTTACGTGGAAGATACTCCATACTGCTGGTCACCCTCGTTGCTCTTCGTTTTGTAATTTTTCCAGTTCTGTGTGGCTGGGATTATGTTAAAGTGTGCCCAATAGGATATGGAGGCTAATGCTGTTTGTTAACATTGCAGGACTGACACAGTACGGGGAACGCAGAAATGCCAGTTACTGGATCCAGGAGCTGATAGCCCAAATTGTGTTGTAACATTCTGCTTTCCAATGAATATCCCTAGTAATGAGGCTGGCTGTGCTAGGATGAAGCTGTGAGCTGGCTCAGGTACTGTCCAAGGGAGAAGTCTGCAAAAGATTTTAAGAGTGGATCCAGCTGACCTGGCTGTAGAATATAGCAAACTCTGCTTCAGGGGTTAGATTTTTTTTTTGCCCTGTTAAAGTAACAAGTTAGGAACATAGTTTTTTTGTTTTGTTTTGTTTTTTGTTTTGTTTTGTTTTCTGTTTGTATATATTTGTATAAAGTTTTTAAAACGTCTTTACAGAAAGTCTTTCAAGTTTGTGTAGGTATAATACTGAACTAACTGAAATGTTATGTGGTATTCACAGTGTCATTTCTAAGTGTAATTACATGTAGAAATATAAACACCTAATACAATCTGGACTTCAGTGTAGGAATGCAAAATGAAGAGCTGGACCACAGCTCTGGATTTTTCTACGCTGTACTGAATTACCCTGACGTGAGGAAGAGGAAGGGCAGTGCTGTGCTGTGTGATGTCATGGGGATGTCAAGGAGCTGAAGTGAGACTGCCACAAGCCTGCTTCTGTGCTGTTCGGAGTCCATTTAGCAAAGCGCTCAGAGAGCCCCAGTGTGGCCGCTGGTTGTTCACAGCTCTTCTCTTTTAAGAGGATGCAGATGAGGGAGTGTGCTTGATGAGGGTGAGCTAACACTGCAAGGTGGGATACTGGAACAAGAGGAGAACACAAGGGGTCCAACACCCCGTGTTACTTGTTGGCTCTTTCCAGGTTTCTTAGCTCTCTGTCTCACTAACTGTAACCTATTTTGATTGCTAGAAAGCGTGGTTTTGGATAAATAAACTTCCCACAGGTATGAGCAACCCTGATGGTAACGCAGCATGAAGTTCTGTGATACTCATGGGAGATACTCAAAGCATTTGAAGTCTTTTTAGGAAAATCCTTTCAAGGGGAGCAACATACTCCTCTCCTGAGGAAAGCGTGCAGTGGCTCCAGCTGCAGTCCCTTTCCAGGGTGCTGTGCATCCACGGGATCTGCTCTTGCAAGACACAGCAGCTGTAACAGCACAGGGATGTTATTTGGGTCCTCGGTGATTCTGCTTCGATAGAGGAAGAAATACACAGATTCAGTGGCATTTCTGCACTGGTTTCATAGATGGGCTTTTTTCTTCTCAGTTTTGAAGCTGCACATGTGCCGTGGTGTTTGGGATGCTGTGGTGTTTTGCAGGCAAAGGTTTATTTTATGTGGATGGCAGAAAACTTGGCAAATGGACATGTTGATTTGCAGTTGTTTTAGGTAACTAAACAAGCATGATGGTATTTTCCCTGGGTAGCTTCTTAACTTTTTAGGGCACAGCAGCAAATATGTGATGCCGACCTCGCTTCCTAGCTGCCTGCTGTTGTTCCCTGCTGGCTGATAACGTATCAGAGTAACGTGTTTTATTTTTCAGGTAGGGAAATCTATGGAGCAGGTGCTTAAATGTTGCTTTAAGTCGTTAAAAGTTAGCAGCACGGTAAGCAAAATATTCTGGGAACCCTGTGTGATGGTTAACCTTGCCTACAGCGGGCGGCTTACCTCTCACTGCTTTTTCCTGCATTTTTGTGATGATGTAGTGCCGAGCCTAGAACACCAAACCAAAAGACAAGCCTGGAGCTCTCCTCCTCTACGTGGAGCCCCGTAAGGAAATCTGTCAGAAGCGGGGGAGATGCTGTGGGTGCTACCCGCGCAGCCAGGTAGGGAGCCCCGTTTTTGGGAAGGACGGAGGGGCGCTGAGAGGGTCTGGGCCCCCTGCCCCTGCCTCTCCTGCGGCGGCCGGCAGGGGGGGGCCGTGTCGCGCACAGGCAGCTCCAGGGGAGGCGCTGGGTCAGAGCAAACCTCACTTTTTTATGGTTGTTTTTTTAAAGTTGGCCTTATGGGGACAGGCTCCGTGCAGAAGCTGTCCTGCGTCTGAACTGGGCGGCGCTGAGAGTGTCACCTTGCAGCGTTCGGGCTTTATTTCCATATTTTCATCTTGGCAGAGGTGTACAGATTTCATGTTGCTTCTCCTTGGTGTCACAGCTCTCACACAAAGTTTAGCATGTGCATCGTGCCTTCTCTGTTTAAATTCTTACACGTTATGCATATGGAAATGCTGAAGAGAACCAATTGTATCCTCGTTGTGGATGTGATTCAATTTAAATTTCACTTACGGGATCGCAGTCCTCATTTTGCAACCTTAGAGGCAATAGTGTATACTAACGTGTATGTCTAAACACTGGGATCATTGAGAGAAAAGTATTTCGTTTAATCTGCAGAGCATGGATTGAACTCTGTAGCAGTTTCTGAGCTCTGCAAAAGAAAAGCATCAGAAATCTACAGAACTGAGACTTTTCAATGGATTGGTATTAGTACGTAATCATAAATAATTTCTGAAATAGATTAGAAATTATTCCATCAAAAATGTTTGTCCTTTTTTTGTCCAGCCAGATGCTATTTTCTGAAAGGATTAGGGAATTTGAGGGCATCCACATATTTAAATTTCTGGTTGCTATTTTCAAAAGTAAGATATCCATGGTCATAAAGAGAAGACAAGTGCTGTAACAGATGATATAAAGAGCTGTCTTAGCTATTTATATTTAAGGCAAGAGACTAAAAACTGAGACACAAAAGCAATAGTTTTAAATGAATGTACTGCCCTGTTATAAAGGGTACGTGGATGTTCTTTACAAAGGACACGTACCTGCCTTACTTATGCAGTGTCTTCTCAACCTCAGTTTGGAATAATGCCTAGCATGGGACATTTTGAAAAAAATATCAGAATTATTTATAGTGCAATTGCTGGTGGCAAATAGTTTTCTTAATCTATCTTTTCACCTAGGATGTTGTCTAGAAGATGGTTTTACTGAAGTAGCAGTTATTTGAGAACAAAATTAGTTACTCTGGGCATTTTTCACTTCAGTATAATGTTTCTTAGTGCCCCTATAAACTCTGTGGGTGGAGTGCGCTTTCAGTCTTAACAAAATACTTAAAAACGTTTTTGTTTTGATTGCAAATGTAATAGCACTTTACAAAAAATACAGAGGTGACTCTTTTAGGCAGATTACCTTCTGGCCAGCGTTCAAGTACTCGACGCTGCTGACTAGCAGAGAGCACGACTTGCCCCACGTGGAGTTTATGGGACCTGGAACGAGTTTGCTTTACCTGTGAGTTTCTCCCGGCTTGCGCTGGCTGTGTATGCGTTTGAGAGCCTTGGGTTATGCCTGCTCCTGCTGCACCGTGAACGCTTCCTGAGGCTGAATGCAGGACAAGGACTACAGCGCAGACTTCTCAGCATCCTCTCAGCTCTGTCTGCTCTAAAGGCTGGTTTGCATTCCAGTCCTTGGCAGAACACAGAGGTGTGGTGCTTGCTGCCCCTTTGTGGAGCACAGACTTGTGTGGCAAGGCCCTTAACACCGTGCTGAGCTCCCTCCTCAGCGTGAAGATCATAGCACTTAGGGAATGGGTTGCAGTTGTCTTCTGGAACTTCTTTAGATAGCTTTGAGACTGCTATCCAAGTGATGACTGAAGCAGCCTAGCTGCAGGTGCTGGGCTCAGGCACCACAGGTTTCTCTTAGCACTGCGTGCGCTGCTCTGGTACGACTCTTTGTGATGTGACCCATGGAGCGGGCTCACCCTGGCTTAGACATTTTCCTTCTTCAGAGATGAGAATTTCTGTTCTTTTCAGAAGTGAACTGAAGAGTTGGATGTTTTGGGTGCGCTCAGCATGTGCGCAGGGAGGAATCTTGCCCTTGAGAGTGGATCCTAGCTCATGTAGGAGCGGGTGCAGGCACGAGGGAATATATGTGAGCTGGGGGAGAGCTGGGAGGAATGTGAAAAGCTGTGGACACGCAGGGTCAGGGCCTTACAGGAATCACCTCCTAGTTCTTACGTTTTCTTCCCATCTCTTCCCATATATAACAAAATGCAGTAAAAAAATTTATATAACTATAAGTGATTTGAGTTGGCTTTTTTTCCTATTACTGGTGAAGATACTGCATTGAGACTCATCTCTCCTTTTGCAGAACATCAGTGAACTTCCGTCTCTGCTATGATCTTCACCTCTTTTGACCTATTTGTTTGTTCTCCGAGGGCTTCATATTTTAACCTTATATTGACACAATCACAATGTTCTATAACTTTTTGCTATAAATAATCCTTGAAGAAAAATATAGATATACTTTGTTTAAATTGTATACAGATATTATTTACATCCAAGAAAAACAGGCAGGTTTATTGCAAACAAATTATATATAATTTTATGTTATCAAATACGTTCTTCACTCAGCACTCCTAGTACGTGATCCTTACAGCTACTAACCAGTATATTTTCTAAGTTGCATTTGAAACCCTTTATGGAAGTCTTGTTTTCCAGTTTCTGCATTGTGTATCTAATGAAAATGTGAAGATAAATGGAGAACCTTCTTCTTACAACACAGTTGCTGTGGAATCAGCCAGTGCAGCAGATTTATATGTACATTTACAAGATCTGGGGGGTAAACCTTGGAGGTTTTGGTAGCATTACAGTGTGTTAGCAATGTATCTTTGCTGCTTTCTGGTATTATAAATGGGCAGTTGTTTTGCCTCACAAGAAATTTCAAAAAAGGGACTAAAAGCAGCTGTAGATGCTTAAATTCCTTGTGAAATAGAGCTGTGATGGCTTTCCTCTCACCAAATGTGCTCTGTTGTTTTATGCTGTTCCTCCTCAACGCAGTTGCTTAAAGTCACAGAAAAACAGACCATACCGTTGGCAGTTTTGGAAAGGGGCAGGTGTAGCCATAATGGAGTCAGAAGGCTCCAGTTTTTTTACTCACTGTGCTAGTGCATGCAGCATTTCTTACAAGACTTACAAGGGTAGTTTGAGTTGGAACATTTACATTTGTTTTATGAACAGAGCTACTACATTTGATTTAGCAGCACAGAGTAAGACATCAGTAGTGAGTCATTTCACAAAAGAAATAATTAGTGTGTTTTGTGAGTTTAAAGAACTGTTCTCATGCTACATCTAGATGATAAGTCTAAGAAATACCCGTCTTCAGACAGATAAAAGCTTCAGAAAGCAATGTAAAGAACTTACCAGACAACAGAGAAGTTTTGATTTTTAAAGTCCAGCTCTGGAAAACCTGTTGCATATTATGCACAGCGTACAAATCATATTCCTGTGATCTTTTTTTTTTTTTGATGTCTGCATGATCCTACTTGAAAAGTGTAATTATGAGAGACAGAAGGGTAGTTTTCACCGTGGTATTTTCCTGGTTAAGTGCTACATGTATTTGGTTAATTGTTATTTGCATCTCTTTTAAAAATGTGCTTAGTTCACAATATTACATTGTTCGTTATTACGAGGACAATATATATACAAATATATTTTGACATACAAGTGTAATGCCTCTTCTCTGCGCAGTTGAAAAGCTTTTAATTAGAAGTTATTCTGTATGCAAAAATAAGATTATATTCTTCAGTCAGCGTTGCAGTGAGTACCAAAATGCGGAGCTTGATGGAAAGATAAGCAGAAGGTAAAGACTGAACATTAAACACCAACATCAACTGCTTTCAAATAGTGTGTGCTGAATCTTTCATTATTTTAAAAATACAAGGGTAGTCCTTTCTCAATCGCCAATCAAAATACAATTTTAAAACATTTTTTTTTTTCCCAAATGTAATTTCAGTATGTGGGATTTGGCTTAAAATTGTGTGTGCACTGAATTGCAAAGCAAAACCTAGAGGGCTTTGCCAAGTATGACAGCAAATAACTTGTAACTTCCTATGACCATGTCTGTTCCCTTTTGGATAATGCTACAAAATATGATTGTACTACTCTTAGTATAATTGATGCTAGGTGCTTTTGGTATTCTTTTTTCTTTTGGGGATGAAAAAGGTTGGCAAATAAAATCTGTAACATGCACAAAGTGAAGGTATTCTTCAATGGAAATCAGTCATTTCCTCATAGCATGCATTTCAAATTAGCTTTGTGCATGTTTTTGTGTATTAGCGTGTCACAACTCTTCGAGGTGGGAGTCAGTGAAGCAGCTGCAGCTCTTGCAGATCTTCTTTGGGGTTATATGCCACGAGATCTTGCTGCTTGCATGAGAGATTGGAAAAATGGTACCTGCATTGTTGAAAGTATATTCAGTTTAATCTTAACTGAAGATTAAACAAATTTTTTTTAGGCTAGAAAAGATCACTGTGAGCATCTAGTCTAACTCTGACATAGAGCACTGGAGTTTCAGCCAGAGACTCTTGGACTTCTATATAAAAAAAAAAAAAGACTCAGCCATAATACTTGCACGTAAGAACGCAACCTCAGAGTTTGTTCCAGTATTTCCTCCAGTGTTTTGTGCCTTATGAAGGCAGCTTGGATATCCACGTAAAGTAGTCTTCCAAATGGCATTACCTAGAGGCTTTTTTTTTTTTTTTTTTTTTTTTTTCAGTATTATTATGGTTTACTTAAGACTAGATTGAGAAATAAAATAAGGCTTACTTCATTTCCAGGACTTACAGCTCAGCCAGTTTCAAGTAGATAGGTGAGAGCAGTTCTGAGTTCTCCAGCTTACAGCTGAGCTGTAAAATATTGCCAGAATGTTTTGCCCAGGCTGCTCACAAACCTTACCAAGCAGCTGATGCTTTCTCAGAAGTTTCTTGGGGGCTTGAGGGTCTTCTTAGAGATTTCAGCTCGTGTACACTCCCAGCGCACACAGGGCGCTCTGAGACTCCTCCTAGCATGTTGTGTGCGGCAAGATCACTGCCAGATTTTACTGTCAGGTTAGTGGTGAATATGGAGATACCCCGGCTTCCATAGCTGTGCTGGTTAAAGCCTGATCCTGCAGTATTAAAAATAATAAAAACAAAAATGTTAGGGTTTTAATGAAGAGTTCCTTAAAAAATAGTATTATACTTACACACTGTATTAGTTGCCAAAAATTGCTACTATCTTCAGCAAAATTTAAATGACTCTTTGCCAAAACACTTAGTCACTGCTTCTCACCAAGGGATGCTTAAATGTCTAATTTCAGCTTTTTTACTTCCAGGCTTCTTGGCTGAAGAGGTTTGTTTGTTTTGCTTTATGAAATGAAACCACATTTTTTTTTCTGTACTGAGGAAAATATATGGATATTCCTCTTTTGGTTGGAACAACTGAAGGTTTGCTCTTTGGTGGTTCTTTAGGGATGCTTGTAGCTTCAAGTTTGTGATGGGAAATACCTCTGGACAATTAAAACCCTAAATATGTGAGTTTTTGAAAGTTAATAAAGATTTAATAAAGATAAGAATGAAAACATAGCAGTCGATTTCCTTTATCCTGTTCTAGGCAAAAAAAAAAAAAAAAAAAAAGCTGTTTTCCTTTGCCCTTTTTGGTTTTTGGTCGTAAAATCTGAGATGTATTTCCTTTGAATTGTAAAGTTTTGGAGGAAAAGCCTTCAGCAGTCACTGTTCTCGTCTTGAATACCAGTTTTGTAGTTCCATATTTTTATTTAAAAATGATTGTGTTTTCTTCTCTCTCCTGTTTTCTTCAACCAACTTGCCTTTAAAAAACGGATACAGACACCGTGTGTTTTTATTCTAAAACTAATCGGGGTTTTGCTACCATTGAGGGTGAACTCAAGTCATTGCGCAGGCATGGAGCAGAGCGTGGTGGATGTGGTGTCTGCAGGAATTGCTCGGCTTTCTGAACTGCTGCTGTTCCCTTATCTGCAAGTCCCCGTGTCTCCAGAGCGTATTTCCATGTTCAGAAGAACAAAGGAGACTTTTAAACCGGAATGAAGAATGTTTGGCATCTAATCTGTTGTGATCCCAGATAGAGCTTTTTAGCTACACTGATACGTCCTGAGCTTGCCTGCAGATTTTAAATGATGAACACTGGAATATATTAAAATCCTTACAGCTAAAACACTTCCCCTAAAGAACTCAGGTGGTCGTAGCATAAGCTGATGGGCAAGTATTTTTGTAAATTGGACATTGAAACAGTCTTGCAACACAAGCACATCATGTGAAGCTTTTTTATTAGTATCTTTTTGCTTTCAAGCAAAGAAGTTTCCAGTTTTCTCCTCGATTGCTTTCAGAGCTGTCCTTTGTGACTTCGCAGTCATTAATCTCGGATTTTTCCCTGAATCACTGCTTTTATTTCTGCTTTGAATCATGGGCCCTTCTTTTCTGCTTGGCACTGTTTGCCTTCAGCGGCTTTATTAAATAACACAAATCTTGCTTTTGTTTGTTTTCTACAGTTGTTGCTAATAAAGGGGTTTCAGAATCAAGAGCTATGTGCTAGCTGCTCGCCGTTATCTCTTTTCATAGAATAAAATGGAAAAATCTATTGTTTTGAGGAAACTGAAGAGATCTTCCACGTCTTTGTGGTTGCCCAGTTTGGGTTGTGAGTCAAATCTGTTGGCAAACAGCATGAGCTTCAGTTGTTCTGTTTGTGTGATTGTTTTAAACAGGACAAAACCTCTGACCACTAACAGGAGAGGACATCCAGATATGTTATGATGGGAAAAAATTGCAAAACACACAGTGGAGCTTAAAAGAGCAACCTCTTGAATTTGTGCTGGCTTTGGTAATGCTCAGTGAGACTTCGAGCTCTGAGTCCCGCTCAACTGCTCGTAAACTTTACCAGGTGAATTTTGCTGGCAGTTGTGTTCAATTACTTGCATATTAGCCTAAAACTTGTGACCTAGTTTGCTGTATGCAGGGCTGTATGAAGAATAATCGTACTGGTTTTTTTGAGTGTGTGTAGTTTCATGGTTTAGCAGGTGAGGTTGGTAGTAGGGTGATGGACCAGATGATCTGGAGGTCTTTTCCAGCCTTAATGATCCTGTAAATCTATGCCTGCTGTATCCATGATGTGTTTTGTTAATAATAGCTGATATTTTAGTACTTACCTTGTTGAATGTTGCAGAATTAAACATCAGGTTTCAAAACAGGCTGTAAACAGTAGTCAGATGTGTTGGTGGAGCATCAGGCTGATGGGTATGGTGTGTGTTCTCCGTGCATGAGTACTGCAGAGTAGCTGGCAATATGCAAAACGTCTTCTTCAATACTACTTGAAACTAATGCTGGAATTAAGAAAATAGCAACTAACTTGGTATTTTTTTTTCAAATGGCATACTGGAGATGGCAAAGATGCATGTTACGCTGGGGGATAATTCCTGACTTTGCGTTGCTGTTCACAAAAAAGCCGGAGTGATGCTCTGGAGTCAGGTTTGTGATTTCTTCCAGTGACGCAAAATAGGAGCAAGTCATCTACTGCATACGACAAGCATAAGTATTTTTAAGATTTTGCTCCTACTTTCTGATAGTACAGGTGCTGATAATAAGCCTGTGAACCCCTGGTACGCAGGGCTGTAGCTCGTGCCATGTAAAAAGGGAAAGTAGGCACCAGCCTCCCTCGAGGGAGTGGGATGCGTAATAATTCAGGGACTGCTCTATACTGAGGTGATTACTGGTGGTGTTTTCTGCACCTTGAGAGGTGTTTTGCCAAGTGCTGAGCTACTTCGGAGTAGGAGACAAAAAGGCTGGGGAGGGAGGGAGGAGGCTGGGAGGACCCTGCAGGCTGCGTGGGGATGCTGTCAGGGTGGCAGATAGCTCTGCGGTGGCATCAGCCTGGAAGTGCAAGACTGAGTGCTTAAGAAATCTACATTGGGCACTTACTTATTTTAAAGTAAAGAAACGTTTAGTATTAGTGGCAGCTTCAACTCTTAAAATATGTTTTTTCTAAGCTTTTCTTTCTGCTAATGCAAGTAGCAGAGCCTTTGCTTCAGAAAGCTCTAAAATCACCGCCTACTGCTGGGCACAATGTGGCTAACGTGCTCGGGGTCGGAGGTATAGAAGGTACTTGAACTATTTGGTCGAGAGGAGACGGGGCTGCACGTCTTTGTTTTGACATGAGTGAAAGGCATGGGGCCAAAAGCCTGGAGGATTATATTCTGGGACCAGAATAAAAAGCATTGAGCTTCTCAGTAATGAACCGTAAGCATTCGGCCCAAATAGTTTAATGTATAAAAAGAAGGCGACAGCCAGAGAAATGGGTTGTACAACTCTGAGCTGCAATTGCTTGTGTGTTGAGGTTGCAGTCGCTGTCACCATACGGCAGCCCTCGCAGTGCTCCTCTCGAGGCTTTACCCTCATTTCTCAGAAAAGCTTCAGCGTGTAGGGAAAAAGTGGTGGTGAAAACAAAGCGTATTCTTTGATGGGTTCAGGAGAACTCTTGAGTTTCGCTTGTTAATGCTGCTTATCTATTTCTGGGTGGAAGGCCATTAGCTGCTTGGTGTAAGCGTTGGCAGCATGGTGTCGGTGTGGGTTAGTCCTGGTGGCTTTGGGGTGATATTTTTGTGCAAAATGAAGTTTTGACTTAGTGTCCAAGCCAGAAGTCTTGTGTGACTGTAGGCTGCAATTACTGCTCGTATTGTCTGAATACTTTAACAACTGCAGACTGGTGAGTTTTGAATGAATATCTAGTTGTGCCTTGTTTACTGGGCAAAGTGGATTTCAAAGGGATGACGCTTTGGCAAAAAATAGAAATGGTTATTCATTTGATTTAAAAAATAGTAAAAAAAACCACTGGAGAGGAATTCGGTAAATTAACTGTGAAGCACTGTGATCTGTTGCCCCAGTAATCCCTTCAAAAACTGTTAAACAATTCCTGGGATTTAGGCTTATGGCTAATTAGGTCAGCACACTCATAGCAGTTACTTTGTAGGGAAAAGCAAAGTTTGCTGGGCTAGTAGGTAGCAGTGGGTTTGTTTAGGTTACTGGTTGAAATACGTGCCTTGCCAATAGATACCTGATCAGAGGGAAGCTTAATACATTTTAATATTCTTTATAACAGGATCTCAGTCTGTTTCTTGAATAAAATAATGTGTGTTGAAGGAGATCTCGGGAGGCTGTCTGTTCAGACCCCTAGCTCCAAGCAGCACAGACTTGGGGCAGATGACTCAGGGCCTTTCCCAGTCAAGTTTGGGTGTCTCCAAGCCATTGTGCCTTTAGCTATTGTGGCATCA